TATGAGGAAGAAAAGCGACGGTGCGTGAACAGCTTAGCAAACGCCTGGTGGACACAGAGCTCAGTAAATGTTAGCTATCACTGCTATCCCTCTGTGAAGGCAGTTACAAAGGTCCGAGCAGCCCACTCCCGGGCAGTCTTCTCGCCCTTAAGAGAACCTTTCCTGGCATTATCAACAGGGTTTTGCACATCAATACTTTGTTTTGAGAACATCAATAAAGGCATTCATTTCTGTCTCTGAAAAGGGGAACACACTGATTCATCTGGATATTTAGCCCGGTTTTAAGTAAGGGTTGGGTTTAAGACTGTTCAGTTACTTTGGGGAAGGACTGGGCCTAGCCGCTTGCTTCGCACTCTGCAGTTCCCGCTGCGTGGACCAGCGGGGCCACACACGGATCTTACCTAGGGTTTGCTGGGTAGAGCGATTATAGGCCACTTATGAATCGATGCACTGCATTAAAATATTAGAGGCTTTTTTCTTTATTAGGTAATAAAACCTAATTACTATGCAAAATAAATAGGAAAAAAATACTAGAACCTCATGTCAGAGACTATTGCCTAAGAATTCTTCAACATTCAAGTTATAGTTTTTACTGATTCCTGGCAGAACCCTTAATATCTTTAACATAACTGGACCAAAAAAAAAAAAAAGACCAGTTCTGGCCTGGACAGGTAGTTCAGCTGGTTAGAGCGTCGTCCCCACATGTCAAGGTTGCAAGTTTTGATCCCTGGTCACGGCACGTACAAGAAGCAACCAATGAGTGCATATATAAGTGGAACAAATGGTTATTTCTCTCCTTCTAAAATCAATTTAAAAAACAAACAGCCCAGCTGGTGTGGCTCAGTGGGCTGAGCATTGTCCCATGCACCAAGAGGTCACCAGTTTGATTCCGGTCAGGGCATATGCCCGGGTTGTTGCTTCAATCCCCAGGAGGGGGCGTGTAGGAGGCAGCCAATTGATGTTTTTCCCTCATTGATATTTCTCCCTCTCCTTTTCCCTTCCTCTCTATCTAAAAATCAATATAAACATTTAAAAACAAACAAAACAGTGCTAAACCCTCTTTCCACTAAAACTAGAAAGTTCATGTTTAACTGTTATTTCTTGAACTTAAAATTTCAACACTGTCAGTTTTATTGGAGTTTAACACACACTGGTGCTTATCCGCCCGCTTTAGATGCAGTTCCTGCGAAGTGCGCATGCGCATGAGCGAGCAGGACGCCTTTACAAGAGCAACACAGTTCCACTTTCAACTAAAAACATGAGAAACAGCAGCAGCAGCAGCAGCAGCAACAAAAACCTCAGGGCTAAGGGCTACAAGGTAGAAGACATGAATTCCTGTCATCTAACTGAACTTCCGGATTAAACACTTTCTTCAGTGAAGGTGTTACAGCACTTTCTGCAGTCTTCTCCAAAGTCTACCCTTCACCACACAATAGTGCCCCAGAGGCTGAAGGGCATGGACAGCTGCCTCCACCCCTGCCTCCTGGTGCCCAAAGACAAGAACAATGACCATCTACCTCCTACAGTTTCCTTTTTGCATTCTGGCCCTTAAGAAACAACTCAATGGTTTAATATAAGGAACACTTTTTTGGAGGGGTACTATATTTGTAGGTATATAGAAGATTTAGGGTTAATATAGCAAAGGATTCTACTTACAGCCCATCAACTTTATTTAAATGATGATAATTTAGAAAATTCTACCATAGGAAGAATCAGTCACAGGAAATTTTAACTTAATAGTTTTACTATGAAGACAAGAGGGGGGAAGGACAGGCTGGAAGAGAAAATCAAATTGCTCCAACATCAATTAATTGCTATTATCTGTACTTTCCCCTTAAACTGACTTAAAAAAAAACCTTTTTTTTTTCTTTATTGATATTAGAGAGAGACAGAGAGGAAGGGAGAGAGAGAGAGATAGAAAGATCCATGAGAGAGAACATTGATTGGCCTTGGCCGCTTCCTGCATGCCCCCCACTGGGGATTTGGCCCACAGCCTGGGCACATACCCTGACTGGGAATTGAACCAGCAACCTTTTGGTGTATGCGTTGAAGCTCAACCACTGAGCCATGCTGGCCGGGCTTAAACTAACTTTTAAATGATAACCTTCCTTTAAAAGGTTAGATTGGTCTCAGGCAGAGCCATGGCCAATAAAATACAGAATTTATTCTGAGAAAGTTAACAGAAACAATCTTTATGTTTTTAAACACATAAAGAAGAACTTTTGAAAAAGTCTTCTAGCAGAAATTCTGTGTTCATCTTTGCTGAAAATATTAAGGCTTCCCTTAAAATGCCCTTATGAGTGTGCTGCACGGTCTTTGCGAATCCTTAACAGATGAAAATCTAATGGCTTCAGTAAAATATGGTATGTGGGAAGAGAGAAGACAGAAATAACATGTATTATTAAATATTTACTGGGAATAAAGTACACGTCAGTCAACTCCTGGGTCTTAAAACCACCTGTTACCCATACAGAGATTATAATGAGAACTTCTATTTCTTTGCTTTAACCTTGAGAATTTTATTTAGGAAAACTCAGGTATAAAGTCGCTCTTGAGGACAGATTGGATACTGAAGGCTGAGGGTTGGGAAAAGGATAAAGAGGGGCAGACAAGGTTTCTGGGTAAAGACTGTCAGAGAAGGCAGCAGAGAGTGGGGGGGAGAAGTGTGCTCAGTGTGCTCAAGAGGGGAAGGCCTAGTGACGTTTATAGGGATAATCCAAAGCATCTTTTACAATCTCGATATTTAATATTTTCTGTATTTCTAAGACCAGAGTGGAACCAAAGAGGTTAACAACTTTCTTTTAAATAAATATAAGCTTTAAATGTTTAATTGGAGAAGAAAAACCCACTGAAAGTAAGTTCCTCTTAGAATATACATTCTCTGCACTCAGACAAGGGTGATTGATCCATGGGTAGGCAGACCTGGAGAGCCATGAAAGCAGAGCGTGGAAGTCTGCGGTACCCACACTTTTCCTGATCACGCATTTAGTACACTGTTCATTACCTTAAGCACACTGAAATATTGTAGAACTTTCACAGCGATACAGCCCTCCTCAAACCTATTCTTTCCATACTTGCAAATTCCAAAAAAAGAATAAACCTATCACTTTATAGAGGTCAACTTCTTTTATGGTACACTATCTTGCAATGCTTGCTACTACTTATTAAAGTTCAGTTTCTCAATGTTTACATGTTGGAGTTAATAGAACTTTCAGTGGCATGCAGTCTTGTAAATGGCACAATGGAACAGAAAATCGTACCACACTCTAGTCAGCAGGTGCTACGATAACAGTGCTTCAGGATGGCTGATGCAGTTTGTTGCTAGGTTCAATATTATGGTATTAAAACTGCTGTGGCAACAAGAGGAAGAGGACTGACAAACTATGGTCAACTTGAGTTGCTTTAGTGAGTTTGTGAGCTGTGATTTAGAGATAGGTGAGGGCTTGACATACAAAGAACCGAAGAATATAAAGAACCTGGAGTAATCAGATCAGATTCTGCAGAAAGAAAGTTTATTTGTATATCTTTTAAGCAACTGGGAAATAGTGATAACAAGATAGTAATATGAACTTGACATCCATTTAAAGAACCACTGCAGCTTAATATTTGCTAACTCTCCTTTCTCCAACATTCTTTTTTGCTTTGCTTGGGAGTCTGAATTTGTATACTTGGTTAAGAGAATAAGAGAGTGGCAAGAAGGAAGGCAATGTAGGAGATTGACAGTATGTACATTTTATATAATTTTGGAGCTGGAAAGGGAAATCGGAGGTCAAAGAGGTTCAATGTTGATTTTAGAACAGGAAACAGAGGAAAAGATAAAAAGAAAGCTCTGTAGATTAAGTCATAAGAGTGGGTGGGGTCAATGCAAATTCAGCAAGTTAAGTAAATCATTTATTTAACAGTTTAAAGCAACCTTTGTTCCCCAGCGGAGAATGCCAGCAGTGCTCAATTCTTTTTAGAGAGGTTTCTAAAAATCATTCTTAGAAGTCAGCAGGTGTAACAGAACGCTGTAACCTGTTTCTGGAGACAAAGGGCACAATCCTAGAGTTTTCTGCAAACTCCAGCAAGACCTTATTTTAGGTTACTTTTAAGCACCTTGAAAAATGTATTGTGCACTTTAGTGGAGGAAAAAATGAAACACACACACACACACACACACACACAAACCCCATGCTTTTATTTTCTCAAAGAAAGCAATATGACTGCATATGCCAAATCCACATTCCAAAATTTAAACCATGTATGGGATAACTTGGTGGTTACCAAACTGTAACCGCTCAACTCCTTTCTTCACCTACTTATCTTTTCCCTTAGCTCAATCCCGTGCCAGCCAGGACCAGTACACACCCCCAAGGCTATTTCATTCCATTGGCTGGCGGGCCATCCTGCGGTCTACACCCTTTAGATTTACTGTCAGGACGCCCGGTGTTTGTCAGATGTTACGTTGCTCATGTATTATTATTTTGTATCAAACAAAAGCTGTCAGGGTAGAAAAATAATGTAAAAGATCAACGTGTCATTACTACACTCATTTGGTTAACAAAACTGTCTAGATTTCAAACCTGGAAGGCAGTTCATTTGGTATGTTACTGTGTATCTGTCACCGGTGTGGAAAGAGTACCCCAAACTCGGAAAACTATTTCATAATCTGCATTCGGATGAGTCATAGAAGCTCACAAAAACTTGCAGAAGGCACCATCGGACGGGCTAGGCATTCCCCATTCCAGAAGCGCATTTCCTCGGGACCCATATCCTGTGTCACACACACTGGGATCCACAGAGCAGGGCAGTGTCTACTCTGCACACAGCATCAACACCCGCAGAAGCCCCAGGGGGAGGGAGGGAGGACCGACTCCGCGGAGGGTTAAGGCGGAAAAATCACTGCCCACCGGAGCCAGCACTGTCCGTGGCGGGGGCTGGGCGGGGGCCCGGGGAGGGGCCAGCGGGGCGGAGCGGCGGCCCGGGACCCGCAGGAGGCCGGGGCGGGGGTCGGCGCTCACCTCCCTTGCAGGGCGTGCGGTGCTGGCTGTGCTGGGCCCGGTAGCCCTCGATGACCTCCCAGGAGCCGTCGTCGCGCCGGATGGGGAAGGACAGGCTCAGCACATGGTTGCAGGGCTTGATGATCCGCAGGATGCCGCGCACCCGGTTCCGCTTCTGCTCCTCGCTCTCCCGGGTCCGGAGGTCCTCCACCAGCTTGTCCTCCACGATGCTGGCGCCGCGGTCGAAGAAGCCCTCCACCATCTTGAAGAAGTTGGGGTCATCTTCGTGGTCAGCCGCTGCCTCGCTGTAGCGCCGCCGGGAGGGCGGCGCGAGCCCCGGCTGCGGGGCGGCGGCGGGCTGCCCGCGGGCCCGGCCCAGCAGCGCCAGCGAGTCGGCCGCCGCCGAGCCCAGGGCGGCGGGCCCGGCGCGGGACAGCAGCAGCGCTTCGCCCAGGCAGCGGTACATGGCGGCGGGGCGGAGGCCGCGGAGCCGAGGCGCTCGCGGAGGGTCGGGGCCGTGGGAGGGGAAGGGCCGGCGCGCGCTGCCCTTTTAAGCCGCGGCTTCCTGCCTGGCTCGGCTGTCCCCTCCCCTCCGGCGCTCGCCGCCTAACCAGGGGGACGGACTTCGGGGCCGCCGGGCAACGTCGCCTGTGAATGGCGGGGCGGGGGGCGCGCGCCGCCCGCAGAGCCGCGCCTCCGCCGCGGCCTCACCCAGCCTCCCGGGCGATGGCGCGGGTCGGCGGGGCCGCGCAGGGCAGTCGGGGCCGCGCAGGCGCGGGAGGGCCGGCGCGCATGCTCGCGGGGCCGCGCAGGGCAGTCGGGGCCGCGCAGGCGCGGGAGGGCTGGCGCGCGAGGGCTGGCGCGCATGCTCACGGGGTCGCGGAGCCGCGAAGCCGCGGAGCTGCGGGGCGGGGCGAGGGCCCGCGTGGGCTGTCTGCAGTCCCGGGAGGCGGTCTCAGGTCTGTGCGTGGCCTCCTCGGTGGAGTGCCTGGGGCTTGAGGGGGGCTCTCCGGGGCGGGGGGTGCTGTCCGAGCGGGCGCGCCTGCCTCGGGGGGGCGTGGGGCGCTGAGAGGCGGGCCGGGGCGGCGCGGGGATGGAGGCGGTGCGGTTGGCGCAGGCCGCGGGGAGTGTGAGTCACCGGAGCCCCTCCTTTCCGCCCGGGGCGGGGCGGCCGCCCTGTCCCCGGCCTGTCCTGGCGTCCCGGGGGCAGACGGGGAAGCGGCGGCCGGAGGCCCGCGGAAGGGCCGGGCTGTGGGCGCGGGGCCGCGTTTGCGGTGGGTCGCAGGACCCGGAGAGGAGGCGGCGGGCAGCGGGGCAACCCCTTCCCCGCTGGCTGTGCTACTTTGTAACTTTGTCCCTTTCGGTGCTCAAGGATGTTGACATCAGGGAGTTACGTAAGGCCCGGAGCTCGCTGTTACAGTGTCCGGACCGTGCTCCCCTTCAGTGTGGAGGAGCAGGGCTGCTGTCATGCATCGTGAACCCCGGACCCGACAGGTCGGGGTGGGTCGCCCCACCCGGACACACAGCCTGAGTAAGGGCACCTTTGCCTTGGCAAGCCCGTCCTTTGTTTCTGGGCTGCTGGTCAGCACCCCTCTGGAATGCCCCCCCCCCCCCGGGGCCTCCTGTAAGGGGTGTCACCACCCAGGGAGCGCATATCTCTCCTTTCCTCCGACCCCTGCCGGCTTTCTCCCGCGGCCGTGGGATCTCCCCTGTGGTCCCCGGTTCCTTCCAACGGCCTAAACGAAACCGCCAAAGTATTACTCTGGGGAGCCCTTGAGAGCTTGCTTCCTGGCACTGCCCTCAGTTTTGGCTCAAAGAAACTCAAAAACTCGCTGCAGGTTTTGACGCTTCTTACGCAACAGAACTATGTTTCGGAAACAGGCGAAAAAAACAAAGACCCTGCAGGAAATTCGTTCTCAGTAATGTATGTATTAAATGGTCCAGAAGAGGATTTGTGAACTTTACCCTCTCTGAAGGTTTAATTATGTACCTAGGCATACTTGATGAGACAGGCTGACGTTAATCACTCCTGTGGGTATGCTCATGCTTGTAAAAGCAATAACTCTGTTCGTAAGACAGCTACCAAAGGCCACATTGCCGCCTCTAGTGATCCCAGTGGACTTCGGAGGTTTTAAAGACCACCTTTTTGACCTGCAGAACTACTTTGCTTTCTGACTTTCACTTTACTCATCTATTAGAACATTCTGCTTTACTCTCTATTACTCATCTATTCTATTACTCATGAGAATATGAAAGAGAATGTTCTTAATTCTTAACAATATCCTGCAAAGTATAAGATGACAACCTAGATAAGTTAAATGACATCTCTCAGTGTACTCTCAAAAGATGGAGATGATATTTTACCAAATTTGCTTGATAAAATAGTCATGTTTATATTTGTATTGTGTTTTTTTAGTGAAAAATATTCTTTGAACTGAATCCTGAATTTGTCTTGTTGCTCAAAAGATTAAGGTACCACATTTCCTTGTCACCTGATAGTATTGTCATTAACATGGCCAACCCCCCCTTCCCCAAACACAAAACCTTTATTTTCCAAAATAAAGTGATTAGAATCAGTAAATATGTGGACATTTTTTTCCTCTTTACATGAACTTCTTTGGTATGTTTTGAGGAAAGTGGTTTAAAAACTTTGTTTTATTGCCCTTTTTTATCTCTTTCTTGATAACGATTGCCTTCAGAAAAATAAATGTTTAACTTTGCTTTCTCCAAGTTTTGCTCACCGAATTCAAGAAAGTGGAAGTAGGCAGGACAGGAAGAAGCTAGAACACTTCCTTGACAAGTGGAATAGGGTAACTAAGACCGTTAAATAGCAGTTTGCACTCATCTGGTAAGTTCTATCTTCCCTAAACTAGGGACACTTAAGAGTAAATGGTTTACACTTCTCCCCAGCTGGAGGGTAAATAGCTTAAATTACCCTACTCAAGGAGGTAGATAGCAGAAATCCAATTAGTGTCATTTACCAACCACACCCAAGACAGATGAAGTTAAGGGAATAAATCTCATTTTGGTACAGCAGCATAAAACTGATGAATATTCTATTGAGATCCTTCCATAAGACCCCCTAAATGCCCAACCTTTTAAACCTCTCAAAACAAATATCCCACTATGCTCTCTCCCCCAGGAGCAAGCCCGCACCCCCCATTTCCCCACAGGCATGGGTCTCCTAAACTCTAAGGAACCACAGGAGGCTTGCCACCAGGGCAGCACTGGGCAGCTGCAGCTCATCCCAGGCACACCCCCTGAACCTGTCCCCAAGGCCTCCTTTTCTCTGACTTCTTAGCCGAAGCAGGCCAGCCTAGGCTCATTTCCCCAGCCCTTTCTTGTTTCACTGTCCCCAGCTTTGATAAACATCCTCTAAAAATTACCTGGACTCATGTTGTGAAATTTACTGCACCAAGCAAGAACCCACACAGAACCAGCCAGCCCGAGGCAGACCCGCCAAGGGCCAGGTCACCTTTCCGGCAGCAGAGGGCTATGGAAGGAGTGAGGAAATTATTTTTAACCCGGAGTCTGCTATGTGTGGATATCTTACAAAATGGCTCCAAAGATCCCTAGAAAGCAGATATTTTTATTTTTAAAATCACTGTATTTTAAAATTATATACATGTACAAAATTTCAAACAGTACAGATAGGTTTAAAAAAAAGTGAAATTATCCCCTGCCCCCATTTTGTAAATAGTTGAAGTGTTTCTTTTCACCCTAAAGTAGTTAGTATTCTAATTTCTGATGTAGCCAAAGTAGGGGCTGAGGCTTACAGAGACCAAGTACATTGATGATCACCTAGCTGGTAAACAGCAGGCTAAGATTCAAACCCGTGTATCTACTCCAAGGTTATGCTGTGTTTACTATTCTGAGAAATATTTTAAGTAGTTTAAAATTGCTTACTATGATGAAAAATCTAGTGAATTTCAGCTTTACATTGGTGACTGCCCTTATAAAGTATGCAGAAATTTTGCAAATTAAAGTTTAATTATTGGTAGTCATTTCCAGTTCAGAAGGAGGCCAGAATTGAACTTGAAGGGAATTCTGGTCATTTGGAAGTATTCAGCAGACAAATCACTTGTCTGCCTTTCTGGTCTGTGAGTTTCTCTTAGCTGTGTTACCATTCGGGCTTTCTTCTTACAGCATTCTGTGCTTCCAAGTGCTTTTAAAAGTATTCTAGAGTAAGAATTTAGTATGTAGGAAGACATAACGTAAATACATGAACAACATAGTTGTTTTTAAAGTAATTTAATTAGAAAGGTAATACGTACTTTCTACCTCTTGACGTTTGGCTATGGTGGACGTTTCATTTAAATAGAATCATACAATATGTGGTCCTTTGTGACTGGCTTCTTTCACTTAGTATAATTAAAAAAAAATGTTTTCATTGATTTTTGTGGTTTTTTGAGACAGGAAGGGAGAGGGAGAGAGGAACATTGATTGGCTGCTTCCTGCATTCCCAACATCCCAGACCTGTGCCCTGACCGGAAATCAAACTGGCAACCTGTTGGTGCATGGTATGACGCTCGACCAACTGAGCCACACCGGCCAGGGCAGCGTCATGTTGTAAACATTCATCCGTATTGTAGCATGTGTCAATACTTCATTTCTTTTTATGGCTGAAGAATATTCATTCTAGGGATCGCTCACACATTTTAATCCATTCATCACTGATGGACATTTGGGTTGTTTTCACTTTTTGGCTATTGTGAATAATGCTATTATAAACACGCTTGTACAAGTTTTTGTTTAGACATATGTTTTAAATTCTCTCGGCTATATACCTAGGAGTGGAATTGCTGGGTCATATGGTAACCTGTGTTTAACCTTCTGAGGCACTGCCACACTGTTTTCCCAGCAGCTGCAGCACCATTTTAATTCCTACCAGCAGTGTATGAAGCTTCCAATTTCACTACATCCTCCTCAACCCTTGTTATTATCTGGTGTGAAATTGTAGCTTATTTTGGTTTTGATGTGCATTTCCTGAATGGCTAAAGATGTTGAGTGGCTTTACATTTGCTCATTGGCCATGTATATCTTTTTTGAGACTGTCTATTCACATCTATTCCTCATTTTAAAATTATATTATTTGTCTTTTTATTGTTGAGTTGTAAGAGTTCTGTATATATTCTAGATGTATATCCCTTATCAGATATATGATTTGCAAGTGTTTTAACTTTTCTGATGGTGTCCTTTGCAACACGGAAGTTTTAAATTTTGATGAAGTCTAATTTATAAATATTTTCTTATGTTGCTTGTGCTTTTGGTGTCATGTCTAAGAAATCACTGTGTAATCAGCGGGCATGAAGATTTACACTTGTGTTTCTTTCTAAGCGTTTTATAGTTTTAGCTTTTACATGTAGGTCTTTGATCCATTTGAGTTTGTTTTTGTATATGGAGTAAAGATTTCCTTTTCATTCTTTCTTTTTTTAAAAAAACTCCAACTATTTAAAAAATATGTCTTTATTGATTTTAGAG